GGGAGACGGGGAGAGCTCTGTATATTTTTTCCTCCTAATTTCTCTTGGTCTTGATTTTCATTCGGTTCTACATGCAGCACTCAGGTGGCAAACATAGACAATATTTTACAAGGGGAGGTCTGTAGTTAATTTCTACATCAAATGACACTCCGAAAATAAATTCAGACTTCTGGGTAGATAGGTGAGGAGGAAAAAGTTTTTTTTGTGGCTCTTTAAACTGGTACAGAATATGGAAGGCTAAAGACTCAACCCAGGTGCAGGTTCCAAGAAGAAAGAAAAATACAACATAATGATCAATGAGGGAAAGCTATGAACTGTAAACATGTTTCCAATTTTATATTTTTAAAAAATATTGTCTAGATTTAGGAGCTGGGTTCTGCTGCAATTACACAATAACTTGCAGTGTCCGGCATTCTTGAAAGCTTTTGGAAGACAGGGCCAGTGTGGAGGGGGGTGGGATTTGTTATTTCTACCCCCACCCCACCCCCATCCCACCCTTACCCCTTTTAGAGTGAGTGCATGTGAGAGAAGATATTAAAGAGGTATCTGTTGTTTGGCAATTTTGCTAAGTCTGTCTTCATTACTTCGACGCTGTGCATTTGCTAATTTGGAGGCCCGGCCATTGACAAGCTTGCTCCATACACCTGCAAGCAATTTGCCGGCTCCGGTACCGGAGAATTGCAGAGATGGCAGCTCGCACCTATTCGATTTTTTTTTTTTTTTTTCCTTTTCTCAATGCACAGCAAATTTGGCTTTCAGTGCGTTATCTCTTTTGTTAATGTAAAAAGATTCCCTGGGCGAAAAAATTGCTCATAATTACCAGAGAGATGGGGAAACTGCATTAGAATAAATAAACCTGAAATTACTGTAATTATGTTGTGTTTGATGGGCCCGGCTTGTAATCAAGAAGAGAATACAGTGAAATGATGCTGACCCTCTTGGGTTTGCAGCTGTACTCGCACTTTGGGGTCTTTTTTTGCAGAAAAGAGTCATTTTGATAATCATTAAGCTGTGTGTAACCTATTTCAGAAGTGTTTTAAAATGAGGTTCACATTTTTTGAACAAGGGGGAAAAAAATCCCAAAATTGCATTTTGCCATTACAGACTCATACATAAGGAAAGGTTGTGTTTTCTAAGTGACAATTGTTAAGACATAATATTCGAAATCAGTATTTAATCATTATAATGAGGTATTGTTTAAATATAACCACCTTTAGATTATTCATAGTTTAATTAATATACTCATTATGAAAATCTTTGAATCAGATATTTGATGAACTACTTGTCAGTAACAAGGCAGCATTAATTAGGCCTATATTGAGATTAACATTTTTTAAAAGTACAACCGCTTATAATTATAATAGAGTCTAACTAAAGACCGCCTTCGTTGAACTAAAACTAATAATTTCTCTATTTGAACTGTTAGCAAGAGATTATTAAATTAGTATAAGCTAATATCTCAAAGTATTAAAAATCCGCTTGACCAAACAGCTTTTGCCAGTGGCTTCAGGCTTGGGCCGCGCTGCAGTCTGAGGAACCCGAGTCAGATCAGTGAGAGAAATTCACCTAAATCTCTTCACTAGCAAAGCCACACCTCTCAGGGGGAACTGAAGCTAGGAAGAGCCCTTGTCTCAGCGCCTCAAGCCCAGCCTAGCAAGTCGGTTCACCCTGTGTTTGAGACCCATCCACCTGGTCTGTTTCCTGGTCTCGGTGGTCTGATTTCCTCTCTAGCGCTCTTGGTTCTGTGGACCAGAAGGAGAAGAAAAGGCCCAGGCTCAGGCCCAGACCCAGGCCTACAGGGGCTTCCAGGTCCCAGACTCCATCCCCCACCACCCTCCAGGCCCCCTTCGCTTCCTCTCTCCGCAATTCCTCCGCCCCTTCCCAAAGGGCGTCGGAAGGGCCCCACGCATCTGATCTTTCACCAGCACCAATTGAAAAATGGGTGCTTGTCACAACACAGATCACTGCCTTCTCGGCTCTGCTCCCCACCGCGCGCTGGAAGGGGTCCCCCAAAGGCGGAGGGCCAGCCCCGCGGGAAGCAGCGTTGGAAGGCGGGTGGGGAAAGCGGGAATGCAACCGTGCTGCCCTGAGGATCCGCAGTTCTCCTAAGCTGTCTGGGATCGATGGAGGAGTCTGAGATTGAAGTCTGGAGGGATTTTGGGGTCGCAAAGTCACAAGGCGGAGAAGGGAGCTGCTGGTTGTCAGCTCAAACTGACTAGAGCGCTTAGCTGGGGATGCCTCTATAGTAGTCTGATCACGAGACTTTTTTATAAGGTGGCTTTGACCAGCTCTTGGGTTCCACGTGCCTCTCCCTTGCCATCTCCTTTTCTCAGGGATGCAGGGAAGAGCTTGCATTAGACTAGACGGAAATGGGCCTCTCAGTCGTCCGTGGGCTTGAGTGGGGTGGGAGTAGTTATGCAAGGGTCCCAGTGAAGTCCCTTGTCCCCTGGAGGGAGGTAGCCCGAGAGAGGAGTCCTTCCAGGCCCCTTTTCCCCCAGGGGATCTAGTATCCTCACAAGACCAAGAACCTGAAGCCTGATAGGGGCGGGGAGGGAGGGGTAAAGGGGGTTGTTTCTACTTCCAGGCCTCTCCAGTGGAGGTTAGAAGTGGAGGGCGCTTAAGTATTCCAGACCAGCTGCCTTTGAACTCTGCCCTCATCCCCTCTCAGGTGGCCTTTACCATCCTTTGGGTTCCAGAGCCCCTCTCTCTGCCTGTCAAGCACCTGTTTCCAGTCCCTCTTCCCTACGACCCCTTTCTCCAACTGAGGTGGGGATCAGATGCCTTGAGGGTCAGGAGAGCTTACTTAGTAAGAGGGACAGCCAAGTGGGGCAGATAACCTAATGTGTCCAGCGCCCAGTGCCCCATTCTGTCCCTGCCACAGCAGTTGCCTGCCCAGGTGCTACTTGTTCCAAGGGATAGATAGTCCAGTCCGGTTCCTGTTGCCAAGACCAGCACACAAGACAGCAGCGCTTTCTCGAAACCATAATTTTACTGTCTCAAAGAAACTTTATAACTTATGTACAAAGTCCCCCCCAAAAAATACAAAGCAATAAGTTAACATTCTCAATATAAAACTAAACTTTGACATAGAGAAACACAAAACACGGTTGATTTAAATTGATCACATTTTCCAAATTTTCACAAGTAAAATGTCAAGATTCTCATTTCACAAAGCATTGGGTTTTACAGCCACACACACACAACGGAACGGAAAAAGGCTAAGCTTGTGCAACATGTTTACAGAACAATAATAATAATAATAATAATTAATAACAATAATTATATGTCCAGCGATTAGATCCTGCACTAGAGACTGCGTTCAGTTCAGGGTGATGACTCGAATTTATTCTGTGGTCGACCTTCTGGGCATTGTTTTAAAGCTGCTTTTATCTGATTTTAAAGCCCACTCAATCAGGGAGCTCTTTCAAGCCTGCCTGTTTTCTGTCTGCTGTTCCTAGGTCCATTTTTTCTCCCCACGGAGGGATTTAAAAGAGTTTTCTTTCTGACCAGGCAAAGTGACCAAGCGCAATTCTCTTGAGATGAGAAAATCGCGTTGGCTTCATTTCTCTTTTCTTTATTGTGATTTTTAAAAATAATACGGACACATAAAATGCAGATCATTAGGCTCCAACCTCTTCATACCAGCGAAGTACAAAAGTTACTGTAAAAGTTAAAAATCACCAAGTCCTCCTTATTCATATATGTCCGGGTACATTTAAAGTAAACGGTGCATTTGGACTGTGCGCTCGGCGCGCCCCATGGAACCATGAACTAGGCTGGTACTCTGAGCCTTGGCGAAGTCCATGGTTCAATAAATAAAAACCCCTCCCTCCATTTCCCCCCAATTCCCGAACAAGCTACACAGATGCCCAGGTTGAGCCCAGGAGAAGGTCCGAAAGGATACAACGTCCCTGTATTCCCGAGCTGGGACCCGGTTACTATTTGAAGAGGCCAAAGAATGAGGACGGTTAATCGATGAGGACCTCGACTTCATCAGTGCACAGACACAGAGCGAAAGGAGACAGAGACAGGACAGAAAAGAGCTTTTGCTTTTTTTCTCCCCCCGACATTGCTCTTGTTTTTGTTCCTGATAACCCTGCAAATCTTAGGGTCCGTGGGTCGGGTCGGGCAGACTTGTCTTGCTGCTCCGGCTCCAGTTGTTTCCAGCCGTTGTGCCTGCGCTCTGAGGCCGCTCTCTGCTGTCGCCACACAGCCCAGGCCAGAATCGGGGCCAGGACACTGGTTGAGGGCGCCGGGGAAATCGCCGGGCCGGATCGCGCGTGGTTCCGAGGAGGAGGCGGCGGGCGTCCTGCCTTTACTGTCCCTTTTTCCTTCCCTCTGGGCCCATCTCCTTTGGACCCAGGGCATGCGGACAGGGTGGATGGACCGGGAGACGGAAGGGGCCCGGGCCAGGGGAGATGGGAAGGAGGTGGGCGGGTGCGGGCGGGCAACCTCACATGAGTTGGGGTTGCTGCATAGCTTCTTGGTGCGCCGAGGGGTACCACGACGTGTAGCTGGGGATATAGGAGCCCGCGCTGCCGCCCGACCCTTTCCCGGATGAGTTGGGATTCCAGCCAGAAGGAACCGGTGGAGAGCCGGCAGACAGAGCCCGGCCGTTGGCTAACGCGCTACCCTCCAGAGCTGCCCCGCCCTGCTTCATCAGCTTCTTGAACTTGGAGCGCTTGTTCTGGAACCAAATCTTGACCTGCAAGAGTGGACAACAACATGTCTCGGGCTGGGGCGGCTGAGCCCTCTGAGGTCTCGGGGAAGAGAGAAGAGGGCTGCGGGGTGACAAAGAGATCAGCCTCCGCTGCCCAGCGCGATCTGACAGCTCCCCCCACCCCCACCGCGGTGTAAGAGTCAAAGGCAGGGCAGCTAGCCCAGGCCCGCAGGGGGGCGTGGTGGTGAGGGGCGAGCAGCCACCCAGGCCTTCGCCTGCAGGGCCGCAGCCCGATGTCTGGGACGGTTTGCAGAAGACACAGTGGCCTGCAGAACCCCGAGCGCCAGCAATTCCAATACACAGCACATCAATAAAAGAATCCAAAACCTAGAAAGGAGTGGATGACGTTTATTTGCAAAGCGGGCTGCCTTCTCTTGGCACCGTCCTTTCGGCCTTGGAGTTGGGAGCTGGCTGAGAGACTGTATGGTTTTGTTGAACTTTTTGTGAACTCAAAACAACCTTTTCTAAGGATCTGTGGGCTCTCCCCAGCTCTGCTTCTAACCCCGGGCTCAACGTAAGAAACCTGCGCCAGTCGCGGTCAGGGCGCCCATAGGTCTCAGAGAAATCCAGGAAGGGAGGCCTGGGTCTCCACCAGGGTCTGGGTCTTGGGAAGTGTGAGGGCAAAAGAAAAGACCCTCCCCCCCCCATCGGTAAGGGGGAGGGAGAAAGAGGTGAGAGCCCAGGCCCCAGTGATTAGCCCCACACTTTAAAGGCAAAGGAGGGATTAAGCCCGGCTTCCATTGTTTCAGTTGTTAGGGCACGTGTGACCTCAGAGTCCCCAAAGAGAATGTGAAGGGAAATCCTTCCTCCGCCCGCCCTAATCAGATTGTCCTGGGCTGGGCCGGCCCAGGGCTGGGTGGTGGTGGTTGTGTGTGTGACAGGCAGCATGGGATATGATGAGCAGCGGCAAAGCCAGGACAGAGAAAATAAGGCAGAAAGAAGAGATGCCAGGGGTGAACGGACGCGCTTGCGCGCGCGAGTGTGTAAGTGTATGTGCACGCGTGCGTGTACATAGATATACACACACGCGCGCGCACATGACACCCCGATTCTGAGGCCCAGACAGCAGGAAATTAAGCCCCGGCGCTGGCAGCGTGGCGGCGGGGCAGCGGCAAAGTACCTGCGTCTGCGTGAGTCCCAAGGAAGCTGCGAGCTCCGCCCTCTCGGGCAAAGCCAGGTATTGAGTTTGCTGGAACCTCCTGTTCAAAGCCTGCAACTGCAAACTGGAATAAATCGTCCTGGGTTTGCGAATCTTTTTCCCCTTGCCATTGAAGCGCACTTCGCCGCCTTCTACCACCGTACTCTTCTCGGAGTCCGCCCCTGGAGGAACAGCAAAAGCAGGGGTCGTTGTTAATGCGGGCGCCGTTGTAAATGAGGGGAGCCGCAGTTAGTTTGGGGATTCAAGGGCAAGTGGCTACCAAGTGCTGGCGGAAGCAGGGCCAGGAAAAGAATGCTCAAGAATCTCCCCAAACCAGGAAAGGGCCCCCGCAAAGTCCTAGGGCCCGCCCCAGGCCGCTCCAGGAGGGCTGGGACCGTTCCCAGGCGCACTGCTCCTTCCTTTGCAGGGAAAGTTTGCTATTTTTGCAGGCGGTAGTTGAGGTTTAATTACCCTTAATTGCATACATTGTTTATAGCGCCACGCAATAAATAATTACCAAGACTAATACGTGCACATGTGGGTTTCTGTTTTCCAGCGGGGCATTGTGTGCTCGGCGTACGAAGCCGCCCAGAGGCCCAGACAGTGCCAGGGGACGCTCTTGGATTTAACCTTGGCTGCATAGTAGCTAATTGGTTGATTTTTTTTTTCTTTTTCTTACAAAATTTCTTTGCTATGATAAGAATCCACAGATTGATACCCACAACCTCCACTGCTCCCGCGCCCTCTTTCTCTCTCCCCGTTTCCCTGTACTCTCTGTCTTTTTCTCTAGCTCTGTCATTCCCCCTCTACCTCTGTACCTACTTCTCTCCCTCTCCCGACTACTGCACGTACCTGGGTCCTCCAGGCGGCTCTGGGCGAGGCTGGCGCTGCCCGGGTAGGACTGCACGGAACTGATGTAGGGACTGGACGCGTGGCTGCTGACCGAGTTGACGTAGGGGTAACCCAGCGGTCGGGAGAAGGACGAGGCTGAGCTGTAGGCGCTGTCGGGCTGCGAGTGGCCCGCCGAGTGTAAACAGTGCATGGAGTAATGCCCGTGGGACATGGGAGAAGGAGACATTTGCTGGTTGGGCGGCCCAAACTCCATAAACACTGCCTTGCCCGACACTGGGCTGTTGAGACTTTCTGGCATGGTGGTCATGGTCATCTCTTCTCGCTGGGTCTGGGTGTGGGTCTTTCTCTCCTCTGCTTCCCTTTTGGGGGTCTCTGTGTTTCTCAGGACAGGAAGGAACCCAATTTAAGCGGAACAGGGGTTTTCACTTTCCATTCATAAGAAAATGGAGTTTGTCTCTTTGAAAAGTCTAAGCATGATGCTGCCGAGCTCCCCAAACTCGCTTCAAAGCTTTGACTCAGCCAAGGTCATAAATATTCATGAGCTGGCGGAGCTGATTGGTCCGCTGTCTTGCATAATCACCGGGGATTGGTCCGAGATGCTCCGGCTCGACTGGACTAGAGCGGACAGGGCTGCCGGGCCTCGGGAGAGATGCGTTCACACTTTGCGGCCCGGGCTCCTCTGCAATAGAGCGCGCCTTGCGGGGCGCACAGTGCGCTGCGGCGCCCACTCCCGGACCTCCGCGGCCCGCGACTCTTCAGTCTCCCGCCTCCCCAGCGCGCCTTCCTCCCCAGAAACCAACCAGCAACTCCGCGCCACCGCCCTCTCTCCAGCTGTCCCCACCCTTAACCCGCCCCCAGCTCCAGGAACCCCCGGGCCGCTTCTTGCAGCTGCCGTCCCGGATGGCCGCTGAGCCTGGGGACTCCCTGGAGCCTCTCCGCAGCTTCTTGAGCCGGGAGTCGCACAGTTTGGGGGCGCCCGAATTGGCGAGCAAAGCGCAGCACTCCCAAGCGCGCCTGCGGCCTCACACAGCACCCTCCTGGCCTCACCTTCCTGGTCCCTGGCCGCTCCGCCACAGCCCTGGGATCGGGATTTGGGTCCCTACCCACGAATTCACTCACTTGGTCGCCGCGCCGCCGCCGCTCCCTGGGGCCCGCTAGCATTGCTCTCGGCCCAGCTGGCCAATCCAGCGCGAGACTGCACCGGTCTGATGAAAGCACTGTGCGCAGAGAGCCAGAAACCCGCGTTTCTCCTTCCAGGAAAGGCGGCCGCACCGCCTCCCCCAATACACACCCCCTCTTTCCCTCCCAACCTTCCTCCGCCTCCTCTTCCCCTCCCCATTTCCCCTGCGCCGTGCGCCCCGCACTGACTCGCTCTGAGGGCGCTGCGATGCGTGGAGCCCAGGCCGGTGGGTTTAGTTCTGCTTGAGACTTGGACCTTGGACGTCAGGTGGTCATTTTCCTGCCTCCTGGGTTCTGTTGAGAGTATCCAAGGTTTAGGAGTCCATGGAGGACACCGAATAAGTAGCCCTAGTGGCGCTATGGTTAAGTGGCTGGCTGCTAACCGAAAGGTCGGTGGTTCGAACCCACCAGCCGTTCTGCGGGAGAACGATGAAGCCCTCCGCTTCCTAAAGATTACAGCCATGGAAACCCTATGGGGGAAATTCTGCCCTGTCTTATAGGGTCGTTATGAGTCGGAATCACTCGATGGCAACTAGTTGTGTTTGGGGGCAAATTCAGGCATTTAGTAGGCTCACATATCTATGTGTAAATATGTCTCTCATTGACACACAGGATCTCCCCCACCTCTTGTGACCCAAGCGGGCTCCACCTGTCCTAGGGGATAGGGCTGGTGGAGACAAGAGCTGACAAGGCGCTTTCTAACTACTGGGGCGCCAGGTACAGCAACACACACTAAAGTCTCCCCCACCCACACTCACACCCCCACTCCACCCCTTCAAACCACATAACCACCATCGTGCGACGTGGCACACACTACAGCGGGCTGCTAGGGGCTGTTGGGTCCCCATCCCGACAGTCCCACGGTGAATCCCAAATCACTTTGTTAGGTAATTAGAAAGTGTTGATAATTATTTCTTTCATAATTTAGCGGTGTGACGGGAACAGGGAAATGATCTTGTGAAAGTTCACACGTGCAGATGTATTAGTTACTGATTCATTTGATTAAATGGTAGTCTCAAGTGCTCGAATCCGCAGCTGAAGGCTCCCCATTAGCATAACACTGATGTTTAATTTTCATACGCATAATTAGCCATATATTTAACACTAATAGCAACATGCAGCCTTTCAGCGTTAAACAGCCCGAGATTTGATCTGGCCTGAGCTGAACCTTCCCCGCTGCACCTTCCCCTGTCTGGAGAGCGCAATGATCATAGTACAAAAACCTCTGTAATCAGGCACATTTTGGCAAAGAGAGAACACCAATAAAAATGAACATTCAAAACAAATTACATCGGTCCTGTCGTTACAGATATCAGTGGAGGGGGCTTCTCTCTTTTTTAACTTCGGTAGCAGCAGCTGCTGCCCATAGAATCCCTCTTTGGCTTAAGGGCGCGGAATATTTCAGGAGCAGAAATATTTCAGGCAGCGTGGTTGGAGCAAAAAGAGAAACAAAAGCAAACACAAAACAAAACAAACCCAAATCTTCCAAACCAATAACGGGTTTGCCAATGTTTAAAAGATTCCCCCCCTCCCTTAATCACCGAACCACACGGCGAGGCTTTGTAGTAACAACCAACTAATGACTTCACCACCAGACAACCCCCGGAGCCACTGGGGTATTCCTGATTTTCTGGATACACTTGTGGTTTTAATTGCTCCTTCCTAGAGCCTGTTTTGGGGTGTGAAGTGCCACGCGGTGCGCCCAACTCAGCCATGCGGATGCCGCCCGGGTCCCGGCTTTCCTGCGCGCTCCTCCCGGGCCCTGCCCACGTAAGTGATCAACGCCGGGCGGGCTTGGATTCGGGGTTGGGGCCGGGCTGGCAACTCCCAGCGCTGAAGGAAAGGCGTGAGAAATCTCGAGGGCCTACCCCTTCAGGACCAGTTTATTCCCAAGATTTGAAGGGCGAGAAAGGGGAGCGAGGCGGTCGCCTATCGTGACCGTCTCCGGGCGTTTCGTTCCCTCAACATCTGGAAGGGGGATCCAAGTCTTTCATGTCGCGGGGACCTGGCTGACTGGGAGGAACAAAGACCCCGCGTGCAAGCCCTTGGGAAACAGTGTTGCTTATTTCAAAAGTGAATTGTGTGTGGGTAAAGGAGTTTCTACACTCCCAGAACTATTTCTAAGCCCCAAAGAAATAAGTCTGGGGAGGGGCTCTGAGCGGGTGTCCCCGAGGCGCGGAGTCTCCCTACCTTGGCTAGATTCTCCACGTGCGATTTTGTATCTCCTCTCTGATCCCAGAGTGGATTGGACCCCCCCCCCCCATTCTATAAGTGGACACCTGTTCTGAAACGACTGTTTTACTAAATTTTTGCATGTCCCAACTCTGAGAGGGAACAAAACTCTCCCTTTTATCCAGAGTGTTGAATTTGGAGTAGAACTGTTGGAGACACTTACCAGGACTGAGTGCCTGGTGGTGCAACCGATTGTGACTGGACTTCTAGAGGCTCCAGGGTGAGATTTGGGGCCAGTTCAGCCGGCAGAGAAGGTAGGGAGGTGTGTATCAGGTATTTTTAATTCTCCTTAATTTCAACCTCAATTCAATCTTAATTTCAAACACAGTTCATTCTCCTTCAACTTTGTTTTCTACTGCTGCTTATTGGCTGGTGCTGGTGAGATATAGTTGTGTGTGGAGGGGTGTACATGTAAAGTCCATAAAAACAAACTTGAAGCCATTGTGTCGATTCTGACACGGAGAGCAGGGTAGAACTACCTTTGTAGAACTTTATAGGACTATCTTTATAGAAACCGAATGCCACATCATTCTCCTGTGTAGAGGCCGGTTGGTTAGAACTGCCTAAATTTTGGGTTGCAACCAACTGCTTTAATCACTGCGCCACCATGGAGCCTACATATAAATTTATATAGTCGGTTAAATATGACATATATATTTAGATGTTGTTAGTCACTTTAATGGAGTACTGGTGTGGCGCTGTATGATAAGCACTGGACAGCGAACCACAAGGTCTGCGGTTCAAACCTACCAGCCGCTTTTGAGAAACCCTTGACAGGGTCACTGAGTCGGAGCTGACTGGACGACGGGACTATAATAAATGGGATTAGAAAGTGTCATATAAGGACCCCCATCTAGGAATAATTGCAGAAGCAGCGTGTTACTCCCGAGGTTGGTAAAATCCTGTGGTCTTAATACATTTATTCTTGGGGAACCTCAGAGTTCCCCAAGATCTGCAGATAAGATAGGGCGCTAATGGTTACAATCCTATTGCTCTAGGAGAGAAGTGAAGTCATTCTCTACAAATCTCTCCCAAGGGCAGCGGGACTCTCTTCTCTAGGGAATCCAGAGTGTTCCGAATGGCTCCAGTCTATGGCTCTTGATCATCTCCAGAGCACCCCAAAAGCTTTTTCTATGTCCCTTGTAAATCCCCAACCCCTTCTTGATCTAGTCTCGCTCTTAGACCCACTAGAAGTGTAATTGACTTTACCCCAAATCTGCATCCTTGGACACAGAGAAACCGAGGTTGAGTTTGGGGGAGACTCAGGGAAGTCCTGAGTTCAGGGTAAAGCTCGAACTCTCCACTGTTCCTCCAAGCGCACTCCAGGGCCTCAGTTCCCCTAGCTCCTTCCCCACCTTTCTGTCTCAAAGAGGAGCTGACTCCCTGGTCTCTGATCACCCACGCCTACTGTCAAGATTACAGGTGTCCACCTCACCTTGGCAATCTCGCCCCCAAATTGTTTTCAGCGGAGCGCAACTTTGCAAAACCCGCTTCAACTAAAGTTCTCATAACCATTGAGCGCACTGACGCTTTCACTGAATTTGCTCCTAAAACCAAGGCCAGAGGGTGGCTTCCTGAGGCCAGCTCCTCCCTATCCCTGAGTCTGGGTGTGAACGGGTTCTGAGGAGGGCAAGCAAAGGAAGGAACTGGCCTTGGAAGATGCCGGGTGTGGGATCGGATTTCCTATATCTAAAGCGGGTTGGAGCTGCCGTTAAACCCGCCAGCTCTAGCC